CTGGAGGATCAGTGACTCAAAGGCGGTGGAAACGCAGCCTGCGGAACAAGTTTCAAACAGGAAAGCTCTTGTGGGTGACCCCTGAGGTCAGCTGCAGAGCTTACTGCAGATTCCACAAAGAGAGAAAGAGGATCCAAAAAGGCATGGGGTGGGGTCGGTTGGGCAGGCGTGTCCCAGTTTGAACAAAACAGCTTTGATGTGGGTCCCAGTGGGCTGGCACAGGAAAGAGGGGGCCCGCTTTCTCCCCCAGCCATTAGGGAGTCATAAACATCTATCTCCAAAGGGAACATCCATCAGCTTTGCATCAACCACAAAGGAAAGATTTACAGGTAATTTTCCCCTCCCAGTACAGAAGTATGATTAAGCATATGCTTGGAAGGTTTTTGTTTTTCTCTTTCTCACACTGTAAATAGAGATGCTTTGTTTTTCCCTCATTCCTGGTGATGTTTATGAGTTTTATAGACACAGACTGATGTTTGGTGCTCACAATGTGCTTTCCTTACATCCATCAGGAGAGTGAGGCATATGGACTCTGCCGTTCCCCACTCTTGAGATGATGGGGAACAGCTGAGGTGCAGGGTTCTGGGGTGTGCTGGAGATCTATCTGCTGGCCCTAAATTCCTGCGGAGCACATAGTATGTCCTTCTAGGCCCAGGCAACATGACCTCAGGGAGGTGTGGATCATGGGGGTGGGGGTGGGAGGAAATACACCTAGCTCCATATTGTGGATCAGTTATCTAAAGGAATACCTTGGGAGGTGATGGGGTTCATTTTAAGGCCAAACCTCTTGAAAGGCCTTTCATTAGGCAGTGGAGTGCCAAGACCTTGACCTGGAGTCAAACATTTGTTGGTTCAGATCCATACTCTGCTGTAGACTGGTTGTGTGATCTTAGAAAGTGTAAGAAGCTTCCTGGAGACTTTTTTAAAAAATTGATCTACAATAGATTTATAGTGTTGTGTTAGTTGTGAAATCTCAGAAATGTATCTCGGGGGAATCCAGTTGTTTATGTCTCAGCAGACCAAGAGGCAAAGTGATAGATAAGAAGTGATTTATTAGAAAAGGATGCTTGTGAAGCTTACAAGTAGATGGGCAAAGAAGTGCCTCGCCAAGAACTTAGTGGGCTACACTTTTATAATCAAAGGAAAAATGGGGAGGAGGAGAAGACACCTTCTTCCTCCTTCTTGAGTAGATGTCACGTTTCTGTCATCAACTCCTCCTCTATGTCAGGTGGGGAAATTTTCTTTCCCTATGTGGTCAAGTTGGGATTGTCGCGGCGCAATGGAAACAACCAAAAGGGCAGTCATGTATACTAAAGTATGGTAAATCATCTCAGGTTTTAGCATAATGTCACTTTTGCCTATATTTTTGTCTTTACTGTGCGCAGAGGAGCATGTCCTAGGAATCAGTAACTTACTGACATCAGTGGGCAGAGTGTACCGTTGTTCTGGGGGCATGTCTCATGCTTCCAGTGCATGGTTTCGTTGCTAAGTAAGCCTGCTTGGTTTTGTGGTTAAGCAAATTTGCTCTGAGTGATGTTTAACTTAGAGGGCTCTCCCATACTTTTTTCTCTACTTACAATCCCCTAGTGAAATTAGCTATTTAATCCCCTACGTTGTGTCTTTACTCTGTCCCTATCAGTTTCAGGTGTTCAGGTGGAGAGCAATGTAACACACACACACACACACACGTGTGTGTGTATGCATATGTGTGTGTGTGTGTGTGTGTATACACATATATACTCTTTTTCAGATTCTTTTCCATTCTAGGTTATTATAAGATCTTGAATATAGTTCCCTGTGCTACATAGTAGGTCCTTGTCATTTATCTATTTTATATATAGTTAGTGTGTATCTGCTGATCCAAAACTCCTAATTTATCTCTCGCTACCCTTTCCCCTTTGATAACCATATGCTTTTTTTCTAAGTCTGTGAATCTCTTTCTGTTTTGTAAATAAGTTCATCTGTATCATTTTTTTTTAGATTCCATTCTATAAATGATGTCATATGATATTTGTCTTTCTTCACCTCACTTACTTCACTTACTTCAATATGATAATCTCTAGGTCCATCCTTGTTACTACAAATGGCATCATTTCATCCCTCTTTGTGGCTGAGTAATATTCCACTTTGTAAATGTACCACAGCTTCTTTATCCATTCATCTACCAAAGACTTACCTTTTGACATCTGTGTGCCGGGGATGGCAACCCCCTTGCATTGGAGGTGGTACAGAGCGTGCAAACCAGAAGTCCTGTCAGTGCTTCAGCTGAGGTGGTGCTGGTGACTCCAGCATCCCAGAGTGAGGTGCTAGTAAGGCCACCTGAGTAGGACTCGCGAGGAGGTACAGACCCCACCTGAGCGCCTACTCAGGAGAGGGCACTTAGGTGTCTGTGCACCCCCCTCAGAACCTCATGGGTGAAAACACACAGGTCAGAGTCCATTATATATATATATATATATTTAATACAGTTTGCTAATGTGAAGGGCAGAAAATGAAATCTTGTCATTTGAGTTGCATTAGCAAGTTTGATTATTGTAAAATATAACATTTATTAGCATGTTTATTGACCATTTGTATTTCTCCCTTGGCTCTTGACCTCTTCATGGTCTCCAATTTTTCCATTAGCCTCTCTCAGACCTGTTAAATTTAACTGTGTTTTAATGTGCCCCAATCTTCAAAAGAAGAGACACAGCTCCAAATAGCACTGACTTCCAGCTCAGTAGAAAAGCAACCTGGGGAGCCCCACACTTCCCCTTCCCACAGGGAAATCAGAGCCTGTGTTCATTCCTCTCCCTCTAGGCTCTTTTCAGGTTTAACAAAACAACAGGAGGTAGAAGAAATCAACAGTCAGGACAGAAAGTGCTGAAGAAAAAAGGCAAAACCTGTAATGGAAAAATATCCCTTGTACCCACAGATCTTCAAGAAGGGAAAATGAGCTGCGTGGAGGATGGGCCTGTCTTGTTGCCATGTGGCTCCAGGAGCAGAAAGGGATGGATTCCCGTCATTCTGCAGACAGGGTGGGACCCCAGAGACAGCTGCTTCTGCTTTTTAAGTGTAAGCTGTTTGTACCCCTTCTCCCCCAGCATGGAATCAAGGGGTTTCCCTGGTGGCTTAGATGGTAAAGACTCTGCCTGCAATGCAGGAGACCTGGGTTCGATCCCTGGGTTGGGAAGATCCCCTGGAGAAGGAAAGCAACCCACTCCAGTATTCTTGCCTGGAGACTCACCGTGGACAGAGGAGCCTGGCGGGCTACAGTCCACGGGGTCTCAGAGTCAGACACGACGGAGCGCCTAAACCCACACAGCACATAGCACAGGGCATCAAGAAACGATTCCAGCATGGTCAGCAGCGTTCTCAGGCCCTGACTCAGCGTTTTAGGGAAAGGTCTTAAATTATTTTGTCATCAAAGCAAACTCAATTCCGTCTCTCAACAGACGATAGAAGAGCTGTGTGACTGCAGAGCTTTACAAAGGAGACCTAGGGTTGAGGAATCCTGTAAAACAAAACGTCTGTTCCTCTCGCCGTTTCTCACCTTCAGAGAATTTCTGAGGCTTATGTAATGGAAGGTCAAGGGAACAAAAACTAACTCACTGTCTTCCCTTGATTCGGTCAATATACGAGGGGTGGGTAGGAGAAGCCACACTATTGTTCTTATTTTACCTTTTGTCCCACAAAGTCTTTGAAATTCCCAAAGCTTTCAAAATTCTCCCAACTTAACATAGATGATCACTTTGTAGAACCCTAGTGAAGTGAAAGTGAAGTGCAAGTGTTAGTCACACGGTCATGTCCAGCTCTTTGCGATCCCATGGGCTATAAGCCTGCCTGGCTCCTCTGTCCATGGAATTCTCCAGGCATGACCACTAGTACTCTCCAATAAATTAAGACTGCAAGAAAGAAACCAGAATCCTTGGCATTTTGTTCATTGGCTATTTTAGAAGCTTTTTGGAGCCTGTTCCATGAGCTCTGGTTCCAGAAAATAATTAGCAGCAAATGGAAGTACTGCAGGAAAACCTGGGGGACACTGGGCAATGTCCATGGACCATTAACAAGGAACAGCTTCTTGGAAAAATGGAGCCAGCATCTTGTACCAGGTACATGTTTCTGCTTGACTTCTGGTTGGGTGCTTGGAAGAGATAAAATTAAAATTTGGTTTTCCTAGAGAAGGAGAGGCCCCATCACATAAGGAAGAAGAAATAGGATATTTCTGTGATCTTCTCTCTGCAGTCATGCCTGCCCAGCTGCTCCCCAAGCCACACTGTGTTGGGTCAAACAGTTTAGTGAGTGCCTTTGTTGATTGTGACTGCCATAACAAACATCATAGACTGGGTGGCTTAAACAATAGGAATTTATTTTCTCACTATTATGGAGGCTGGAAGTCCAAGGTCAGAGTGCCAGCATGGTTGGGTTCCCACAAGAGCCCCCTTTCTGGTTTGATGGCCGTCTTCTCCCTGTGCCCCCACTTGGAAGAGAGAAGTCGAGGGGAGAGAAGGAGGGAGGGAGGGAGGTGGGGAGAGAGAGAGAGAGAGGGAGGGAGGGAGGGAGGGAGAGAAGGAGGGAGAGAGAGGAGGGAAGGAGGGAGAGAGGGAGGGAGAGAGATACAGAAACAGAGTGAGAGAGGGAAGCGGGTGGGAGAGAGGGAGAGGGAGAGAGAGAGTGGGGAGGGGAGGGAGAGAAAGAGAGAGGGAGGGAGGGAGGGCTTCATGTGTCTGTTCTTATAAGGGCACTAATCCCATCATGAGGCCCCACCCTCATGACCTCATCTAACCTAATTACCTCCCTAAGGCCCCACCTCCGAATACTAACACACTGTGGGGTTAGGGCTTCAGCATGAATTCAACATGAAATTTTTTCGGGGGTGGGACACAATTTCACAGTCCACAGCAGTGAAGTTGATGAAAACAGCGTTTTCATCCTGATGTATCAATCGTTCTCCTCTGGGGACCTTGCCCCTCCTCCTGTCCCGTCTCTACACCCACCATGTCTTGACTTCCCGTGTGCAGGGTATGCCTTGAGGGAGAAATACTCTTCCGTACTTTGCCAGCTGAGACAAGAAGCTGCCACGGTGGTGTATCTCCTCATCATAAAAGTGATGTTGGCTCTGATTTTGTAAGTTGTTAGTATTTCTTTAGCATGCCTCAGGGCCCACCATGGTTCTGTGCCTTGAACCAAGCCAATCTCTCTGGTGAACAAGATGACCAGGTCCTCCAGCCCATCTTAGGAACCATTGGACCGGAAGAGAACAATTTTTTTTCTTGGCAAATGGTCAAGTAATACATATTAAAAATTGTGTGTGTGTGTGTGTGCATGCTAAGTCATTTCAGTCACGTCTGACTCTTTGCAATCCTATGGACTGTAGCCCACCAGGCTCCTCTGTCTGTGGGATTCTCCAGGCAAGAGTACTGGAGTGGGTTTCCATGCCCTCCTTCAGGGGATCTTGCCAACCCAGGGATCGAACCCGTGTCTTTCGAGTCTCTGGCATTGGCAGGTGGGCTCTTTACCACTAGTACCGCCTGGGAAGCCGAAAGGGTTTGTGGATCATAGTAATCATTCTGTCATCACACCATGATAGCAGCCACAGACAATATGTAAATGATTATAGTATGGCTGTTTTCCAGTAAAACATTATTTAAAAAAAAATAGCAGGCTGTGGGGCCATCTGGCCCAAGGCTCCTAGTCTCCAAACTTGACTCCCTCTTACCCTCTGTCCTGCTCCCTCTCTGCTTCCTCCTCTCCAACACTGAACTGTTAAGTTTTTTTTTATTGCCTTCATCTCTATTCTCATGACTAGTGTCTTTGTCTCTGCCTTTAGATCTTACACCTCTTCTGGTGGTAGTGGTTTGGATGGCCCCTTATCTGAGTGAACCCATGATGGGATGTGAGCTGGCCCCTTGTCTGTGTGAGACAAAGGCCAGTCAGATAGAACAAGGCAATGACTGCATGGTTTTCTCGCTGCTTTGGACTATTTCAGGAACCTGGATGCCCTTTTCAGTGCATTTCATCCCTGGGAAGAACCTGGAGCCCATAGATCAATGGCCAACAGTCTAATCCTTGTTGCCAGGCACCTGGCACCTGTAGCTATGGTAATCTGCCAGATATCTCAATTTAGATCTTGATTGTGAGAATCTCTGGGAGAGGAAGAAGATGACAGGTTTCTAACAAGCTAATTGACTCACTGAGCAAGATTCACCATGTGGCTGGACACCCCAGTCTCAGAAAGGCAGAGAGCCTTGCTCCACATGTCAGCCGAGCTCCTGAGAGGTCTGTTGAGTGATGAGCAGTCTGACAGGTGTTACTTCTATAAGGAACTTCACTCCTGGAGCTCCGTCCATCACTACTTCTAAGGTCCTAGGCACCGTGGTCCTTTGTACCTGGATGGCTCCCCCTGTTCCCACCTCTGCCCTCCCTGGCCACCATATTTCATCTCAATCAGGCAGAGAATGTGATCCTTTGAAATAAAAATGGAGCTTGATCTTTGCTCAAGATCCTGAGGCAGTTCCCCAGAGTAAAAGCCAAAGTCTTGAAAAATACCTTATAAGGCCCAGATGATCTGACAGCCTCTTCAACTCGTTCCTCTTTTTTGATTTTTAAATTTTACTTTATTTTTATTGGAGTATAGTTGATTTGCAATATTGTGTTAGTTTCAGTTAAACAGCAAAGTGATTCAGCTGAGATTTTTTTCCGTTATAGATTATTAAAAGATATTGAGTATAGTTCCCTGCGCTGTACAGCAGGTTACCTATTTTATATACAGTAGTGTGTGTATGTTAAGCCCAAGTTCCTAATTTATTCCCCCCACCTTTTCCCTTTGTGTGTTAATCACTCATTTGTGTCCGACTCTTCGAGACCCAAGGACTGTAGACCGCGAGGCTCTTCTGTCCATGGGATTCTGGAGTGGGTAACCATTCCCTTCTACAGGGGATCTACCTGACCCAGAGATCAAACCCGGGTCACCTGCATTGCAGGCAGATTCTTTACCACCTGAGCCATCAGGAAGCCCTCTTTCCCCCCGTGGTAACCATGAATTTGTTTTCTAAGTCTGTGAATCCCTTTCTGTTTTGTAAATAAGTTCATTTGTATCATACTTTCAGAGTCCACATATAAGTGATAGCATATGGCGTTTGTCTTTCTCTGTCTGACTGCCTTTGCTCAGTGTGATCACTCTGGGTCCATCCATACTGCTACAGATCCACCCACTCCTCTTGCAGCTTCATCACTCTCCTCGCTGCTGGCTCCCCAGCGGCCACACTCTGCTCCACGTTACTCAGACTCATCAATCAAGTTCTTTCCACCCTCTGCAGGATTTGTCCTTTGCCACTTTCAGGTCTCTGTTCAAATACCACCTTATCAGTGAAGCCTTCCCAACTCCTTTACTTAAAATATCACCCTCCCCCTACTACTCTGTCACTCTCTGAGCCGCTCATCCTGATGTATTTTTCTCCAGTGCACTTGTACTAACATACTATGTATTTCCTTAGTTATCCATGTATTATCTCGCTTGTCCACTAGAATGTAAAATTCCAGGAGGTCAAGGAAGTAATCTACTTGATTTAAAATTTTATCTCCAGGACCTAGAACATTTAATTTAAGATTAAATTAGAACATTAAATTTAAAAATTTATCTCCAGGACCTGTTATTTGATACATAACAAGTCCATATACACACATATACATATGTGTGTCTGTGTATATATATATCTACATATATCTATAATATATATAGGGTTGGACAGAAAGTTCATTTGGGGTTTTCCATATTGTCTTTCAGAAAAACCTGAATGAACTTTTTGACCAACCCAATGTGTGTGTGTGTGTGCGCGCGTGCGTGCGTGTGAGCGTATGTCTGTATTTCAGTGAGTGAGTGGGTGAATTCATGACTGATCAAAGTAGCCTCTGGATTTTCTCTGTCCCATAAGTTTTTCTCTTAATAAACGGTTCACATGCATGGATGCATCCTTTTATAGGTAGACAGAAAGTCATTGGGACCATATAAAACTATAGGATCCTTAGTTCTGGTGAGAGGCAGAATAAACGACTTCCTATCCAAACAGGATCTAATTTTTATTTTTATTTTTTTCAGGATCTAGTTTTGTTTGGAGACTGTAAATCCTGGAGTAAGTTTCTTTCATATAATTGTGTTCTGTTTTTTTTTTTACACTGCACTATATTTTACCTTAATTCTTTGCTCACAGACATGAATAAAATACTTATTAAACAGCAATAGGGAGTGAGCTGGGTTAACCTTCCCCAAAGTATGCTTTATGGAACATTAAATCTAGAGAGCACGCTCTGTATCTGGGGACACTGAGCGCATTGCACCCAGCCCAGTTTCTTTCAAAATGTCGACGATTCATGAAATTCTGTGCAAGCTCACCATGTTGGGTGATCACACCTCCGAGTGCACATGGGTTAGTCAAAGTGTACACCAAGTTTCATGATGAGCGGGATGCTCTGAACATTAAGACAACCATCAAGACCAAAGGTGTGGGTGAGGTCACCACGCTCAACATCCTGATCAACCACAGCAATGAACAGAGATAGGATGGCACCTTCGCCTACCAGAGAAGGACGAAGAAGGAACTTGCATCAACACTGAAGTTAGCCTTGTCTCTGCCACCTGGAGACAGTGATTTTGGGCCTATTGAAAACACCTGCTCGGTATGATGCTTCTGAGCCGAAAGCATCCATGAAGGGACTGGGGCTTGATGAGGACTCTCTCATTGAGATCATCTGCTCAAGCACCAACCAGGAGCTGCAGGAAATCAAGAGTCTACGAGGAAATGTACAAGACCAGTTTGGACAGGGACATCGTTTCCAACACATCTGGCGACTTCCACAAGCTGATGGTCACCCTCACAAAGGGTTGAAGAGCAGAGAATGGCTCTGCTGTTGATTATGAACTGTTTGACCAGGACACTTGCTATCTCCATGATGCTGGTGTGAAGAGGAAAGAAACTAACGTTCCCAAGTGTATCGGCATCATGATTGAGTGGAGCGTGTGTCAAATACTTCCTGAAAGTATTTGAAAGGTACCAGAGCCACAGCCCTTATGACATGCTGGAGAGCATCAAGAAGGAGGTCGAAGGTGACCTGGAAAATGTTTTCCTGAAGCTGGTCCAGTGCATTCGGAACAAGCCCCTGTATTTTGCTGACAGACTGTACGTCCCCGTGAATGGCAAGGGCAGTCGTGCTAAGGTCCTGATTAGAATCCCCTGCAGTGACATGGACATGTTGAAAATAAGGTCTGATTTCAAGTCAAGTTCGGCAAGTCTCTGTACTACTGCGTTCAGCAGGACACCAAGGGCGACTGCCAGAAAGCACTGCTGTTCCTGCGTGGTGGGGGTGACTGAACCCCACAACATCCGAGCATCCAGGGTGGCTGTTCTGTGCTCCAGCTAACAGTTATACACAGTCAGCTTGGGCTAACCGCCCCCTCTGCCCATCCTTCGGAGGACGACATTAGCACTGCCCACCCCACCCACTCTTTTATTAGTTTAGATGCCTACACATCACCTGACTTGCCCATCTAGTCCCTCTTTATAGCCGAAGAAATGAACATTCCAAGGATTGGGAAGTGAAATCTATGATGTGAAACACACTTTTTTCTCTTGAGTACTGTGCCGTAAACAGATGAATAAACTGAATTATTTTTAAATTTATTTATTTTTTAGTTGAAGGATAGTTGCTTTACAGAATTTTGTTGTTTTCTGTTAAACCTGAACAAGAATCAGCCACAGGGACACATATATCCCCTCCCTTCTGAACCTCCCTCCCACCTCCCTCCCCATCCCACCCCTCTAGGTTGATACAGAGCCCCTGTCTGAGTTTCCTGAGACATATGGCAAATTCCTACTGGTTATCTGTTTTAGGTATGGTAAATTTCCATGTTAGTCTCTCCATACATCTCGCCCTCTCCTCCCCTCTCCCCGTGTCCATAAGTCTATTCTCTATGTCTGCTTCTCCACTGCTGCCCTGCAGATAAATTCTTCAGTACCATTTGTCTACATTCTGTATATATGCATTAGTATTTGATATTTATCTTTCTCTTTCTGACTTACTTCACTCTGTATAATAGGCTCTAGGTTCATCCACCTCATGAGAACTGACTCAAATATGTTCCTTTTTATGGCTGAGTAATATTCCATTGTGTATATATGTACCACAGCTTCTCCATCCATTCATCTGTCGATGGACATCTAAGTGGCTTCAATGTTCTAGCTATTGTAAATAGTGCTTCAATGAACAGTGGGATACATGTGTCTTTTTCAGTTTTGGTTTCCTCAGGGTATATGCCTAGGAGTGGGATTGCTGGTCATATGGTGGTTTTATTCCTTAAAGAATCTCCATACCGTCATCCATCATGGCTGTATCTACTTACATTCCCACCAACAGTGCAAGAGCTGTTGTGTTCCTCCACACCCTCTCCAGCATTTATTGTTGTAGACTTTTTGATGATGGCCATTCTGACCAGTGTGAGGTGAAATCTCATTGTAGTTTTGATTTGCCTTTCTCTAATAATAAATAGTCAAGGCTATGGTTTTTCCAGTGGTCATGTATGGATGGGAGAGTTGGACTGTAAAGAAAGCTGAGCACTGAAGAATTGATGCTTTTGAACTGTGGTGTTGGAGAAGACTCTTGAGAGTCCCTTGGACTGCAAGGAGATCCAACCAGTCCATCCTAAAGGAATTAGTCCTGGGTATTCACTGGAAGGACTGATGCTGAAGCTGAAACTCTAATACTTTGGCCATCTCATGCGAAGAGTTGACTCATTGGAAAAGAACCTGATGCTGGGAGGGATTGGGGGCAGGAGAAGGGGGCGACAGAGGATGAGATGGCTGGATGGCATCACCAACTCGATGGACATGAGTTTGAGTAAACTCCGGGAGTTGGTGATGGACAGGGAGGCCTGGCGTGCTGCGATTCATGGGGTTGCAGAGTCAGACACAACTGAGCAACTGAACTGAACTGAACTGAATAATGAGTGATTTTGAGCATCTTTTCATGTGTTTCTTAGCCATCCGTATGTCTTCTTTGGAAAAATGTCTGTTTAGGTATTTCCCCCACTTTTTGATTGGGTTGTTTGTTTTTCTGGCATTGAGTTGTATGAGTTGCTTGTATATTTTGGAAATTAATCCTTTGTCAATTGTTTCATTTGCTATTATTTTCTCCCATTCTGGGGGCTGTCTTTTCACCTTGCTTGTAGTTTCCTTTTCTGTGCAAAAGCTTTTAAGTTTAATCAGGTCCCACTTGTGAATAAACTGAATTTTTACTTAAAAAAAAAATCTGTGTGCACTTGAGAAAAAGGTGAAGTTGATTGTTTTGGGGTGAAATGTCCTATAGATGTCAGTTAGGTCTAGCTGGTCCATTGTGTCCTTTAAAGTTTGTGTTTCCTTGTTCATTTTCTGTTTAGTTGATCTATCCATAGTTGTGAGTGGGGTATTAAAGTCTCCTACTATTATTGTGTTACTATTAATTTCCTCTTTCATACTCGTTAGCATTTGCCTTACATATTGCGGTGCTCCTATGTTGGGTGCATATATATTTATAATTGTTATATCTTCTTCTTGGATTGATCCTTTGATCATTATGTAGTGTCCATCTTTGTCTCTTTTCACACCCTTTATTTGAAAGTCTATTTTATCTGATATGAGTATTGCGACTCCTGCTTTCTTTTGGTCTCCGTTTGCGTGGTATATTTTTTTCCAGCCCTTCACTTTTAGTCTGTATGTGTCCCTTGCTTTGAGGTGGGTCTCTTGTAGACAGCATATATAGGGGTCTTGCTTTTGTATCCATTCAGCCAGCCTTTGTCTTTTGGTTGGGGCATTCAACCCATTTACATTTAAGGTAATTATTGATAGGTATGGTCCCGTTGCCATTTATTTTGTTGTTTGGGGTTCACATTTATACCACCTTTCTGTGTTTCCTGTCTAGAGAAGATCCTTTAGTATTTGTTGAAGAGCTGGTTTGGTGGTGCTGAATTCTCTCAGCTTTTGCTTGTCTGTAAAGCTTTTGAGTTCTCCTTCATATCTGAATGAGATCCTTGCTGGGTAGAGTAATCTAGGTTGTAGGTTATTCTCTTTCATTACTTTAAGTATGTCCTGCCATTCCCTTCTGGCCTGAAGAGTTTCTATTGATAGATCAGCCGTTATCCTTATGGGAATCCCTTTGTATGTTATTTGTTGTTTCTCCCTTGCTGCTTTTAATATTTGTTCTTTGTGTTTGATCTTTGTTAATTTGATTAATATGTGTCTTGGGGTGTTTCGCCTTGGGTTTATCCTTTTTGGGACTCTCTGGGTTTCTTGGACTTGGGTGGCTATTTCCTTCCCATTTTAGGGAAGTTTTCAGCTATTATCTCCTCGAGTAACTTCTCATGGCCTTTTTTTTTGTCTTCTTCTTCTGGGACTCCTATGATTCGAATGTTGGGGTGTTTCACATTGTCCCAGAGGTCCCTGAGGTTGTCCTCATTTCTTTTGATTCTTTTTTCTTTTTTCCTCTCTGCTTCATTTATTTCCACCATTTTATCTTCTAACTCACTTATCCTATCTTCTGTCTCTGTTATTCTACTCATGGTTCCCTCCAGAGTGTTTTTGATCTCATTTATTTCATTATTAATTTTTAATTGACTTTTTTTTATTTCTTCTAGGTCCTTGTTAAACATTTCTTGCATCTTCTCAATCTTTGTCTCCAGGCTATTTATTTGTAACTCTATTTTGTTTTCAAGATTTTGGATCATTTTTATTATCATTATTCTAAATTCTTTTTCAGGTAGATTCCCTATTTCCTCCTCTTTTGTTTGACTTGGTGGGCTTTTTTCATGTTCCTTTACCTGTTGGGTATTTCTCTGCCTTTCACCTTTTTCTCAAGTGCACACGGAACCTTCTCCAGAATAGATCACATCCTGGGCCATAAATCTAGTCTTGGTAAATTCAAAAAAATTGAAATCATTCCAGTCATCTTTTCTGACCACAGTGCAGTAAGATTAGATCTCAATTACAGGAAAAAAATTATTAAAAATTCAAACATATGGAGGCTAAACAACACACTTCTGAATAACCAACAAATCATAGAAGAAATCTAAAAAGAAATTCAAATATGCATAGAAATGAATGAAAATGAAAACACAACAACCCAAAACCTATGGGACACTGTAAAAGCAGTGCTAAGGGGAAGATTCATAGCATTACAGGCCTACCTCAAGAAACAAGAAAAAAGTCAAATAAATAACCTAACTCTACACCTAAAGCAACTAGAGAAGGAAGAAATGAAGAACCCCAGGGTTAGTAGAAGGAAAGAAATCTTAAAAATTAGGGCAGAAATAAATGCAAAAGAAAGTAAAGAGACCATAGCAAAAATCAACAAAGCTAAAAGCTGGTTTTTTGAAAAAATAAACTAAATTGACAAACCATTAGCAAGACTCATTAAGAAACAAAGGGAGAAGAACCAAATTAACAAAATTAGAAATGAAAATGGAGAGATCACAACAGACAACACTGAAATACAAAGGATCATAAGAGACTATTACCAGCAGCTCTATGCCAATAAAATGGACAACTTGGAAGAAATGGACAAGTTCTTGAAGTATAACTTTCCAAAACTGAATCAGGGAGAAATAGAAGATCTTAACAAACCCATCACAAGCAAGGAAATCGAAACTGTAATCAGAAATCTTCCAGCAAACAAAAGCCCAGGACCAGATGGCTTCGCAGCCGAATTCTACCAAAAATTTAGAGAAGAGCTAACACCTCTCTTACTCAAACTCTTCCAGAAAATTGCAGAAGAAGGTAAACTTCCAAACTCATTCTATGAGGCCACCATCACCCTAATTCCAAAACCAGACAAAGATGCCACAAAAAAAGAAAACTACAGGCCAATATCACTGATGAACATAGATGCAAAAATCCTTAACAAAATTCTAGCAAACAGGATCCAACAACATATTAAAAAAATCATACACCATGACCAAGTGGGCTTTATCCCAGGAATGCAAGGATTCTTTAATATCCACAAATCAATCAATGTAATACACCACATTAACAAATTGAAAGATAAAAACCATATGATTATCTCAATAGATGCAGAAAAAGCCTTTGACAAAATTCAACATCCATTTATGATTAAAACTCTCCAGAAAGCAGGAATAGAAGGAACATACCTCAACATAATAAAAGCTATATATGACAAACCCACAGCAAGCATCACCCTCAATGGTAAAAAATTGAAAGCATTTCCCCTGAAATCAGGAACAAGACAAGGGTGCCCACTCTCACCACTACTATTCAACATAGTTTTGGAAGTGTTGGCCACAGCAATCAGGGCAGAAAAAGAAGTAAAAGGAATCCAGATAGGAAAAGAAGAAGTGAAACTCTCTCTGTTTGCAGATGACATGGTTCTCTACATAG